GGCAAAATATCACCAACCTGTTTATGCAAATTGAATCCAAAAAGGGAGCAAAGTCAAAATATCCCAGAAAAAATACAGTAGGTTTTGGATTCAATACAATGAGCTGTAAACTGCAAAGTCTAAACTGGTTCGAACAGTCCTGCAATGCACGGCTTATCTGTTTGCCTACTTTTACATCACAATACCCCAAAGCTGCAATCATTTCCCGCACCTGATCACACACAGTAAGTTATAAGGCAAAGATGAGGATCCAAACCCCACTGATCTGAACAAGCCCCACTCTAGTGTTTCCAGGAAGGACCTCACTCTACAAGCATTGCAAAAAGCACATTCATCTCCTTTCACTGGGAGAAAACGCAGCATGAGAAAGCCTTGTCGTTGTAATGAGGTCACTTGTAGAAACCTTTCAAGGTGGAAACCATGGTGCACTGCAGAAACGAAGCCTCTCTCTCACAATGCTAATTATCATAGTTCATTTTCACCGTGAGCACTAGCACAGCATTTACCAGGACAAAGTGTGGCACTGAAGTTAGCTGCCAGTACATATGCTTTGGTTTATTCCAAACTAGGATATTTTGACCCCAAATGTTACTCCTCCCCATCCATTTTCTAACAGCTTCTTCCAATACAAGGTGCTGGGGGAGCTGCAGCGTATCCCAGCAAGCAATGGGTGAAAGGCAAGGTACGCCCTGGATGGGACACCAGTCCATCGCAGGGCAGGCAGACACAAACACACACCCACACTCAGGCACACATGGAGCACCTGGAGGAAACCCCACAAGTAAGGAGAGAACATGCAAACACCACGCAGACAGCACCCCAGAAATTGAACCCAGGGCCCTAGCACTGCAATGCAGCAATGCTGACCACTGCTCCAGAGTGCCACTCTAGTTCTACCAGTTCTGGCTGAAGCACCTTTCTTGCAAATCCACCTTAATTCTTCCTTCAGGTCAATCTGATGCGATACATTTGATAATTGCTAGAATGCTACAAATTAACAGGTTGAACTCTGGAGCCACTACACAATTAACTTAAAGAGCTTGTGCTCAAATGGAAAAATTATAATTTGGCTATGAAAGGTCTTTTTCTCCATTCAAAAAACGATTAAATCGGCTTTTCAGTGAAGAGAAAACTAACGTTTCACATTGCTTCATGTGAAAAAAGGTGGGAGCATCAAAGTTCGGTTGCCAAACAAAAAAACTGAACTGAACTGGTAAGAGTCTCAGCTCAATCCATTCGGAAAACAGAGTACAGTTCGCTTCAGAAACGTGAACGCAAACCAAAACACAAATGTGTTATATACTAACAGCTACAGAAAAGGACGCTCCTGGATATTTCTGCACAAACAAGTTAGGCAACACTGTAACAAAACAGACAGAAAAGGAAAATGGATTCAGCAAAAGCTAGACGGATCCCCGATAGAACACTGAAATGTCTCCAATTTTTTTTTACAGAGGCTGAGAGAGAAAAAGCTTACAAGCAGCAGTGCCGACATAAAAAACGGTGCATCTCATTTAATTAAAAAAAAGCACACAAAGGATAACTAACTTTATGTATCTAATCTACCCTGCAATGAACAGATCTACTCTAAAATCCAGATTCACGTGATGATTGAAGTGTGGATACAAGTGGTCTGAGTCTCCCGAAATCAAAGGAAGTAAAGCAAGAAAAACTCAGCTGAGTAAGCAGTCATTGTTTCAATTCAAGCCATCCCGTCCAACACCCCGAGTTAGGAGGAGTGACTAGGGGCCCCGGGGCTCTTGACCAGAGGGAAGTGGGTTTAAATCTCTGGTGAGGCACAGCTGTACCCTTAAGCCGAGTACAGTACTTTAATTACATCGCTTCATGAAAATATACCTATTGTATCAACGGGTGCGGATGTAAGTGACTGAATACTGCACTAGGCGCCCGTCACTGGGATCACTTCCTTAACCTGGGCTGCGGGACACGGGCACATTGAGCACAGCCTGGGAGCACAATTAATACGGGCACGTGGACGCGATGCTCCAGTCCCACCGCACTCGCGCAGCTCCGGTATCGCAAGCAAGTTTCGTATATGAAGCATTTCGTGATTTTTATCTATGGCAAATCGACGTGTTTGCATGATTTTTCTAACAGGACTCCACGCTTCAACTCTGCATTGAAAAGACGCTACACAAAATACATACTGACGATAAATGCACTCGATGTCCAAGTTAAAATCTGTGTATCAAAAATATGATGGATTTTTATAGGTATTCCATATATAAAATAAACATATACATTGACCTTCAAATGCAGATAGAATAAACGGCTTGTTTTGTTCTGTAATCGGCGGAGTAGCTATTCCCCATATGGTTGCTATAGCAAGCTTTTCGCTACGCGGCACACCGCAGGTTTAATTAAAACGAATTGTACAAGGATTTAAAAATTAAAGACGTCGTAAACTTGGGGGCTTACCTGTTTATTATTGGCGCAGAGCGAAAAGTGTCACTGGACGAAACCAGAGACGGGTTTTCTTGCTCCTTCGGTTCCTGTGTGTGACGCTTCTTTCAAAACCCCGGTGTAGCACAACAGCGGAGCACTGGACCTGCAAGCGGGCGAGACTCGCTTCAGCTCAGCAGTCCAGGACCGGCGCCCCCAGGTGTCTGAAGACACGCCTCTGCTCGTTAATATTTATTCCTGTCGCTGGGGCACAACAAGGCTAGTTTTGACCCCTGTCCTCTCCAGCACGACGGTGCGCAAAGAGAAGTCTCTTGACGCAATATGGTCAGTTCTGCTGTGTTATATGCAGTTTATCTGTTATTTTCCACACGAGGAAGACATCGATTAAAGACAGAAAAGTGAAAACCTGAGTATAATATCGGTCAAGGTGATAAAAAAATTGATAGCCCTCACTACCTCACCTGTTACATATAATGAAGATCTTTAGCGCGTGTAATCACCGCTTAACCTTTAAAAAACAAAAATAAAAAGTGTGCTGTTAAGCCAGTGTGAACTGTGAACGGTGTTTAGAAAAATAAAGCTGATCTCGCAAGTAAACGCAAAATGCGACAGGGAATCGACATTACTACTATAGGTAAAAATGGTAACAGATTTCTGATACGGTTTGATACCACTGTCCAAAATAAAACCCGGGCAAATTAATATTGCTGTACTTACATGAAGAAGGCGACTCGTTTGTGAAGAATGTCTTGAGGCCAAACAGAAAAACAAAACGACTTAAAGAGCATGGTAGTGAGCTGGCACGTTGTCGCAATGCCCAAATAGCTCGCGACCTACCAAGGTGCGGGGTAAAGTCCTGGCAGAGGAAACCTGCCCAGTTCGACTCGATAGCGTTGCCTCATCTTATCAGCAGACTGCTGAAGGCTAGAGATTGACCAGAAATCAATCTTACAGCAAATAACACTACTCCTTCTAATGTCAAAAGCTAAGTTTTAAGATTAAGATTTTGACCTGCTAAGATTGTAGGTAGGTCACACAAAAAGTTCTTGCCGCTGTACAAAACACCCCGACAACAGCCATCATGCCTGAAGCAGGAATAGAGGAGAAGACAGCAGAGGACCTGAAGCAGGAATAGAGGAGAGGACAGCAGAGGACCTGAAGCAGGAATAGAGGAGA